CCGTCAGAAAGCAGGATGGCGGCCGTGATATTGGGATCCATGCAACCGGTTTTTCTTATTCCAGCGTATTAACTGATAACGGTCCTTGGTTCGAGGAACCTGAAGAGGAAGAAGATGATGATGGAGAGGGTCCACTATTGTCGTCCGCTGGGACGGACGACTGCATGAATATTAATACGCTGACGGAAAGAGCCATTCTGTCAGCGAACGAGGATGAGAATAAAAGTGCCCGGCTGTCACCCTCACGTTTCCTTGACTCTGAGAGAAGTCTTCTTCCGTCTGATGTTAGTATTGTATCGTCGTCAGAGGCCTCTTCTTCCTTCGCAGAGGATATATCGCCGACACCATTGAATCCCAGAAAGCCGAGGGATAATAACACCATCGACGACAATAGAAAACTATTATTATTATCCGCCTCGGGGTCCAGAACAAGTTCTTATACCCTGATCCCAAAAGATACGATTGGTCGAAGCCAGGATCTCAAGCTTTTTCCGAGTGCCGATATTATTATTAAGAAGCGTGCTGCTGGACGAGACGAAATTACTCGATTGCATTACTCTTCTTATCAAAACCGCAGCGGCCTCGACTTCGACCTCACCCGCAACACAACTGCCAGTCCACCGCGCCAACCCACAAATTCCTCTCCTTCGACTCCTGCCTCTCTCCGTCAACCTCTCCTTCAGCATCATCAAAATAATATTCGTCAGAATATTCTCGATTCATCGAATCCTTATCCTGTCGCAATCCCTCCTCCTCCTATTCCGCCCCGTCGCATAAGAAATAATACTCCGTTCGCATTAACCGTACTAACGACCCATTCGGCTACTCCGTCTGTGACGCTTCCCAGCTCTCCGGTCAATCACGGACCAAACAATAGTGCTGACGCTGTGCTCGTTCCCTTGCTAAGCACCTCAGACGCTGCATCTCCTTCGCCTTCGCAAGCGTCTTCGCCAATAGCAGAAAGGTGTGCCTCATTTTTGGCGGCGACGAGCCTGCAGCCACAAATCCCTGTCCCCATTCCCAAGGAATATCGACCACAGACCCCACCGACCGTTGGTCTCGTCGAGTCCTCTTCCTCCGTTGCTGAAAGTACGATAAACGAATTACTCCGTCCCGGGACTGCTTCGTCAATCTCGACTTTATCTGCAGGGTCCTCCGTCAGCTTTGGTACCTCGCATCTTTCCTCATCCACACCTATAACCCATTCCGAAAACAATTCTGCTTCCAATTGTGTACTCTCTCTTTCTACTAGTCCAATCGAAATGGCTGCTCGTTCCGCGGCAGCCCAAAAGTCGCTGATGCGCTCTGGCGCTCCCAGGGAACAATACGCTCCTTATCATTATTCAACAAAATATACCAACTATCATCCCAATGCCCATTTGGACAACGCCTCAGCATCGAGTAACTCTAGTGAAGAATTCCAGGCTCAGCATGATATCCAAAGCCTCCAGGCAATGGCACGGCAAAGAGAGCAAGCCGAACAAAGTGGTTCTCGCGGTCGCTCCGACTCGCAGTCTCGCATGCAAGGTAACTACAACAAGACTCACAATAAGAATGGCTCCGGTGGCGGCAATGAACTGTTAGAGAATGTCTTTGGTATCTATCCTGAGAAGAAGAGCATGGGAACTGGTGTCAGTGTTGCGGATGTCGTCGCAAACAAGCTCTTCAAATGGGGATCTAAGAAGGAAACTCCTAGCACTATACCTACTCCTAGTCGGGAGCAAAAGGTTCAAGTTCAACGATCTGCTCGACATCCACACCACGCTGGATATGTCGGTGGAGTCCCACAGCAAGTCGCCAGTCCCCAACGACCTGGGTCAGGCCCGTATGATCAGGATTACCACCCGTCGCAAAGAGGTATGTCGAGAGCGCAGATGTGTTTCTTTTACGTAATGGTTTCGACTAACTGGGATGCTTTCCTGTTCTAGACGAGATGCTACACTCCAGAGCTTCAAACCTTGACCACGCAAAGTTAGATGAGCTCATGGCTAGGCAAAAGATGCTTGAGGATACAATCAATCAGCTGCGGCTACAGAGGGACCATCTCATGGATATCAACCAACAACCGCAGCCTTTACCCCTCAAGCCACATCACGAAGCAGCCATCCCACCCCGGCCCCCTCACACTTACATGAACCTCCCTCCAGCTCCGCTTCGCATTCCCTCGGGTGCCTCGATTCCACGTCCTCAAGACATGAGCCCCGCACATTCTATATCGCCCAGTGTTCCTGCTCGCCAAATGGCAGAACCGATGAGCATGCAATTTCCACTTCCACCTTCTCAAGCTCTACCACAAATTCCACAATCCCCACAAGTTCCTCAAACCCCATCAACAGGTTCGCCTTCTCCTGGTCGGCCGCGTAGCTCACGTGCTTTCCCCTCGTCAAAACACATGCAACCGCTTAAAACAACACCGATGGCTATCCCATTAACAACTCGACCAGACCCAGCTGCCAGTTCTGTTCACTACGTTTCCCGCCCTCTTCCTCAAACTCCGGTTGATGCAACGCCGCCTCCAGAGTACGAACCACCAGAGCTTGCTTATGGAGTCAATCGTGGCCAGTATCGCGATAACAAGATTAAACTTACATCGCCTACTTCAGGACCCGTCTTCACCCATGATGTTATCATTGAAGAACATCCTGATGACGAACAACAGCATGAGGGTATGCCATCACCACGTGATGATGTTGATACCGATGATATCCTCGGTTGGTTTGATACTCTCAAATTTGCATCGACTGGTCCGAGAGGTCGCGGTCCTATTACCCCGCTCCCACGTCCAGAGGCTGGTGATATTAAGGCTCCCATCTCTAGCGCTGATGTGAAGAACCTGGGATACCGTCAGCCTGAGCACGCTGAATACATCGACATCAAGCTTCCCATTCACACTACCTCACCTGACCAAATTTACAACATGGGCTATAAGAAGGACTGGAACGCAGGGAGAAAGAAGCGAAGCGATGTTAGACTTCGAGATCAAGCCCGGGAGGCAGAGACCATGCGCGTTCCTGCAGTTTAGGAAACTGTGGGTAAGAGTAGCTCATCGGTATTTGCTCCTGGCATAGCCAAGGACTACAGTTATGATAACGATGATGATGGAGAGAAGGATCGAGATAGCGGATACACTGAAGACGGTCTTGGTTCCTTAGAACAGGGCGTTGACGAGCGTACCGCCGGGCCATCGACGGAATATCCATATTGGGATGATCCTAGCTTTGTTGCCCACTGCTATAGCAGCCTTCAGGAAGCTGAAGCAGATCTCAGAAACGCAAGACCGAACGAATATATTTATAACGACGACGCTTCATCATGGAACGAGGGAAATCGGGCGGAAGCTCCAAAGATCGAGGGAAAAAAGAAGCCCTCGTTCTTTCAACATTTTCGAAAACCCAGCAATGACGACTCAGAGGGGCCTAAGCTCTCTTTTCCAGGATTACGATGGTTAACTAAGAACTTCCATCGTCACTAATATTGTGACATCAATCCTTTGCAATTATTACACCCTTCTAAATCATGATTTCCTTTTATATTACCGAGTCGCTTTGAATAACAGAGTGACATGTCTAAAAACTCTTTTTCTTTGTCAATTGTTTATGATGTTTCTTTTTTCATTCATCTTCGAAGCGATTACTAGTGTAGTAGTCTAATCTCCGGCGTTGTGTTCCTTATTTTCACCATAGTTCTCGAGTTGTTTCTTTTCTCTTAATTTTTATTGGCATTTCCTTCTCGAGTGTCCTTAGCAGCCTGGGTAGTGGTGTCCCTTTTTTTTCCTTTGCCTGATGAGCGTATCGATCCGAGCTAGGCTATTTCTCTTTCTCCACCAAATTTCTTCTATTCCTGTATCATGTCGTCTTATTCTCCATGGCATTGTATCTTTCTTCATCCCTCCTATTCTTCTCCACTATTATCTTCTATTGTCTCATGAGCAGTCCAGTTGTTTATCTTTTAGCGGAGGCGTAAGTCCCTTTACTATTTCCTCGATTACTTTATTTATTCATTCACGTCAGCGCGAACCATGGTTTCGCCGATTTCTCCTTCTTATTTTCTTCCCTGTATATTTCTTTCTTTTTTCTCTGTATATGGGCTCTTATAAGAAAAGTATGATTCGAGCGTAAAATGTTAAAATACGCTCACTATAGCTAGCGCAGCAAAAGAAATTACAATTTATTATATCATCGATATCTCTTATATATTAGTTCCGAAGCGCAAAGTAATACACATTATCATCAACCAATGATCTTGAGAATCTCAGCCTTGCGACGGCTAGCCCACAAGGCTGGACCCGCATAACGCTCTCGTATCTGAATGGCAACACTCTTGGCGGGAATAAGCTGTTGTATTTTGCGCGTTGTCTCCAAGATTCGCCAATCATATGCGTTCATGTGCAAGGATGTGACAATTTTTTTCTTTTGGATATGCAAGTTCCCGCTTGTTAGGTGGCTCAGATTGCATTGATTATGTCGATATCGCATCTCGGACCCTTTCTTGGTGACGCGACAGGTGAGCTTACTTCGCCGATATGTTGGAAAGATATCTGATCAATATGTATACATATGTGAGAATTGAAGGGATTGGATGATATTTGTGGGGTTCAGTGTAGAGATGTAATATATAGTTCCCACGTTTTATCCATTTTTAAAGATAATATACGTTGACGCGTCCAGTGCCCAAGCCCGCTGTATGGTGCTCCTCAATTTAAAAGCCTGGGCCCATAAGCACGCATTGCAGTGCGGTATATATCAAAAATCAAGAAACATATCCAATGAACCAGTTTTGTTTCTTCCGATACCTCGCCGTATGTCGTGATCAGATACGGTGCCATCTACCCCGATGCCGCTTTTACTAAACAACAGTCAAAAGCCACTCACCCGTCCCTCCAATCATTATTCTCACGACAGGTTACACAACCAAAAGTACCCCTATTGTTCCCGTTTAGTCCGCGCTAATCTTCCATTGAAGTACAAAAAATAAAAATTCAACAAAAAAGGAAATTCAAGCGGTGATAGTAAGACTCGAACTTACAACCTCCCGGTTTGCTGAAGCTTCTTGGAAGAGAAGCTCGTAACAGCCGGATGCGCTAACCGGTTGCGCCATACCACCTGAACCACCCGAGGGTGTTTTGTATTGGATGGAGGATTGACGGTGGAAATTGGGGTATATAGGGTTTTGTTAGCAGGGGTTGTATTTTGCCCTGGTTGAAATGGATTTGGGTTGAGCAGGGGTGTCGTGCTCTAAGCTGCGAGACTACAGTAGGTTTGAGTTCTATTTCTAATTGATCAATTGTGTAATCATGAGATTGAGATGATACTATATGTGTTTATCGCTGGCATTATCAGAGTAGGGGCTAGCGCATCGATTTATATATCTACTGAAGAATGAAAATGCAATAATGCTTTGATTTTAGACCAAAATTTCTGTCTTGCGAGCTTTTAGGAACTAAGTATGCACAGCGGTTCCGTCATTATATTACATCTGAATCAGATGATAATATATACTAATATCCATCGGATGGTGAACCATGTTCGACAAGACCCTATTCTTATGAGCACCTAACCTTTCCGCCTAGTCTCGTTTTTTGCCTGCTTCTTGGATGAAGTGCAGGTCCCTCAATGACCAGGTCGCAAGGTGTAGACGCTCCATAGATATAAGAGCGCCCAGAGTTCTTTGATCATAGGAAGGGCCCAAACTCCCTTTCGTCTCGAAGCTAGAACTTTCTTCATCAACAATGCAAGGGAATTAAATAAAAAGTCTATGTAGACTGTTAAGCCCGTCGACTCAAGTAAAAGCTGCAAGATCGGCAGAGACCTTCGTTTTGACTTTTTAAAACATGCTATAGTATCAGGGTTATATTGTCGCAGGCGGTTGAGGACATGACATCGCGACATGTAGAGAAAGCCTACAACTAGTACTCAGCTAGAGCCTCATCAAAATCTCCGTGCTGATTTCTAGTTCTATCGCTCACAACCTATTCAATTCTGTCAACTCTGTTTCCCCAATATTCCACTACTCTAGCAACGTTAGTATTCACATGAGAAAAGCAACGATAGTCACCACCATGGCGAAAGAATCGAAAGCAACGATAACTACCACCCTTCCTGCAATCAAGCCCGAAAATGTCAATGTCAAACTGATCAAGTTTCCCTATAATGGGAAGACGGTGGATCCAACGTCTCTCATTGGCCTCAACTTCCTATCTGCCAGCGCTGAATACTCCTATCCCCTCACCCTCACAGTTCGTAGAGGGCGCCAAAAACAGTTCAAATACGAAATCCATAGCAAATGCACCGGCCGCTTCTTCAACATTCAAGTATCCACCAACCTCAAGCAACAATTTTCTCAAGCAACTTCCGCCCAACCTCTGAAAATCATCAAGGCCGCATCTGGCGAGAAAGAGGTCATGTACGCTGCACCGATGTGTCACAAGATATGCAAAATGCGCAAAATGGCGGGAATGAAAATGGTGGATAAATTTACTCTGATCGGATTGCAGCTGCAGGGTATGAGCGAGATGGGATGGATTTGGGCCGAAGATGTGGAAGGATCGTTCGAAGAAGGGATCCTCAAGGCTTCGGTTTTCATCCCAACGGGACCTGTGTACACCGATCATACCCCGATCACTAGAGCAACTCTTGTCGAGGATGAGGATATAGCCACGGAACCTGAGGATTCCGAAGAAATGGGGATCACAGAAGAGGAGTTTGACAGACTGATGGACGAAAACGAGATCGGGAAATCTGTCAAAGCTAAGGCTAAAAGGAAGGAATTTGAGTCGAGCGAGGCTGAGTCTCTTGATGATTGGTGTATTATCAGTCATCCCGCAAACATTCGGGACTGGGAGATAATTGAAAACCGGCGCCGGACAATCCCTTGATCAAAGGACTGACCCTTGAAGGGTATTGATTAGAAGCGCGCACGCGGAGGATATTTTGGGTCTAATACTGAAGCAAAGATTGTTTTCTCTGGTTTTGTTCATTCCTCTATGTCTATGACAACGATATACTTAGATTAGTAGCTGATGGCTCTAGGTTTATCCCTGTCTGCTCAGCTTCAACCGGTGAGAATGACATAGTAGTAGAATTGAATGTCTAATACATGGTTTTTTGAGGTTATCTATACATCAATTGCTTCGCAGCATAACTGAAACATCAGACAATGTTGCCTTTATAGGAGTTATAATGTATAATAGGTGCGACTAGACCACCGGCCCAATGTTCTTGAATATTTAACTGGCAGGACAGTTATTCTTAGGCTTCTGCAATGTCGTCGGCAAGTTGTCGAAATCAGGAATGGTGCATTCATATATCGAACCCTTCGCGTAGGAAATCTGATGAACAAGACCCTCATTCGGGCTGCTGCTATCCAAAGAAGCGTCGACTCTGTTTTGAAGGTCGGCGAGTTTGTCCCAGACGCTCATCGGGACGCTGTTGATGAACTTTTGACGTGCGGAATCGAGGTCTTGAGCCCATGTCGTAAATTCTTGTTTTTCCGAGTCGCCTGTCGCTAGGGTGGATCGGATGGTGAGGGTTGGTACTGCCGCGACCGTGGCGACGAGGAGGGTGATGGTGGAGATGATGTGAGGGAAATGCATTTTGAGATATATTATTATTAAACTGAATCTGTTTCAAAATATAGGTGTATATATCTGTGATTGAGGATTCAAATTCGATGATGCTTTTCCTGGGTTGAAAGAGAGGCGCCTCGGAAAACGAAATTTACATGGATATTAGGAGCTATTCTCATTATAATATTAATTTTGAGCCTTGGGGTTCAAACACATCTTGATCCCGTACTGGTCTCCCGTCGCAAATTTCCAACTGTGAGCAAAGTAAGGTGCCTTCCTTCGTTGTAAATCACCATGAGAGGGGCTTTGCCTATTCGGGTAGCTGGCCCGTTTGAGCACTATTAATTCGCAATTGCGCTGAGCTATGCCAGCGGTTATAGCGTTATCACGTGACACTGCGAATGCTAGCTTTACTATCTTCTCTTCGCTATCCTCTATTATTCTGAAGCTCAAGCTTCAGCCAAAGATGATGACGACGGACCGAATAAAAATGTAATGTTATATTTCATTCCTTCTATGGAGAGTTGAGTTGCTGTGTGGTGATCATCTATTATCTGTATATCACTTGAGATTGAATTGTGATTCATAGTTCTAAACTTTAATTTAATGTTCTAAAGGCACAAACCAGTTGGCCTTGGTCTCGTTTTCTCTCCCTCTGATTGTTATATGATCCCTCGGTCATACGATTCGAATATGTTTCCTGCCTCGGATTCAACTTCTAAAGTGCCCGCTAAGTCAGCAGGGCATTTAGCGCGGATAAAACGTTATAAAATGCGAAGAGAAATGGCCACACGACGAAGGGAAGAACGGAAACAAATGGAAAATGCCATTGGATCCCTTGTTCTACCACCAGACCAACTCGGACCCATGTTACACAAACTCCAGGAACTCGGATCATTGAATATATTTGTCGAGGTGATGGAAGCTGGTGAACAATTCCCAGATTTCAAAAAGAAACTTGATCAACAAGAAATTGAGGTCGACATATATGACATCCTCGAGGAATCGATGCACCAGTTGGAGAGCTCAGTATGGTAAGCCCTTTCAAATTCTCTGAACTAGTTGTTTTCTTTTTGTTTTGGTCTAGTTAACGTAGCTTAGTCAAGAATTTGATACTGGAGCGATGTACCTGTCTTTACCTATTATTACTCTCTACCACCCCGACACATTACCAGAGCTTCCAGACAATATTAAAGGTCTCCCTTGGTTCATTTGTTGTATCAAACCCTACCTTAGGATTACTTTAGAAAGCTCACATTGGTAGCACTAAATAGATGAAAATATGTTGACGGCAACGCTGCATCTTCAGGCGAGATGGATTTTGCAATATTAAAGCGTGTGAAAGAAGTTATAAGTGTTTCGATTGAGTCTGGAGCCCTGAAGTCATTTAGCTTGTTTGAATTCTCGTAGTAGTGTATTGTATGTACTGGAATCGCGAGAGATGTATAATCGAATGATGCGTTGGGGGTGTTGTGTTGGGAGGGTGTGAATCACCGCCGCTCGCAGCGTCATAGTCATAATTGCTTGGTGGCGCGTCGTTGAACCGTTGACAGCCGCAAGCTTCTTCTTCTTCTTTTTCTTCCTCTCCATCTCATCCTCTCCTTCGTTCATCTCTCCCTCTTATATTAAATCATAGCAAAAAGAGACAATCTTCAGCTTTAATTTATGTACAGTTCACAGATGCCGAGCTGCATCAACGGTCGCAATGTCCACGGACGCCAAACATGAAGACGAAGACCCCGCCACCATCTCATCCTCCCCACCATCGCCCTCCGCATCGGCAGCATCAGCCTCATCCATCGACCCAAATGCCCTAACGCCGCTCATAAACCTGCCCCAGGAAATCCTAATCCACATAGTCAAACTCCTCCCCGTCGTCCTGGACGTATTTTACCTTCGACAAACCTGCAAATCGCTCTACCATCGTCTCGGTCCCGCCAATCAACCTTTATGGCACCATTTCGTCAACCAGAAAAAAGGTCGCCGTCGATTCGCGCATTACATTCAAGATACGGATTATTTTGCCACCACGAAGAAGATATTACGGGGTGAAGCTGACGGCTGTCAGATATGTTTGAGGGATGCTAGGTATAATTACTTTATCGCATATCGGGGTGGGATATTCTACAAGTCGGTGTGTCGCACTTGCGCGACAGAAAACTTTACAGGTGAAAAAGCGAATCGCCCATCCATTGGGATCGAAGCACAAATCGCTCGATATAGAATAACGTCGCTAATGAGAATTATGATTCGGTATATCAGAATTATGGCGTTTGGAAGACCAATACCCTGGGTTGAAAATCCACCCGAACGACAGGATAACATGGGTCGGCGGCTTCCCGTTCGATGATCCCATTAGTGTAACCGGTCGATACACAATCGCAGACTATAATCGAACCAGCGTACGGAATGTAGACCTTCAAGCGGCCATCAAGGAACAGATGAAACCCGTCGATGATAACCGCAACCTCGCGAAAGAAGCTTGGGAGTCTCGATACGATAAACAGATCGCATTCGCACATAAACGCAAGGAGTCAGC